CTCTCCTCTCTCTCTCTCTCTCTCTCTCTCTCTCTCTCTCTCTTGCTCTCTCTATTCTCTCTCTCTCCTCTTCTCTCTCTCTCTGTCTCTCTCTCTCTCTCTCTCTCTCTCTCTCTCTCTCTCTCTCTCTCTCTCTCTCTCTCTCTCTCTCTCTCTCTCTCTCTCCCCCATCTCTTAGAGAACAACGACCTTGGGTATCACAACAACTCGCGGATAGCGACACAATCTTGAGACCTAGTGACCAGCTGACTGCATACATGCATCCTGATGAATAACGACCCATTTCCTCATGCACGATGAAGGGTCGTTATTCGCACGGCTGACAGTGCTCTCTTCATGTGCAGAAATCTTTGCAATATCTATTCAAAGATTTAAAGGACATATACCGATGTTTCAACATAATTATGTACTCTGTTGATCCTAGTCCTATTTCTCTGCTACTCCTTTAGTAATGTCTATGTGCTTCTCTGTGCTGCTTCTGCAGATCGCAATCCCGTCCTATTTGATTGCCATTGCTGCTGGCAAACTCTACGGCAAGTAAGAAATCACCGCAACTTGTTTATTCGCTCCAGTGGCACTTTGAGCCTTCTCAGAACCTGCTCCAGAGCCATGTTGCCAGGGCCAGCGACCTGACTGAGAGGTCTGGTGTGCATGCCAAGAGTACTTGAAGCCCAGAGTGTGCAGCTCGGATGGGTTGCTGTCACGACAAAATTCCAGGATTACCTCATTTTAGTGATGTAGTGCGTAAAAGCAGGATTCGAAAAAAATCGTACCTGCACAGCAGTCGAACGTAATCGTATGCACTCAAAGACAATAATCGAACGCGCTTGTGTGCGCTCGCACAGACAGCAGCTGAATGCACTCCCCCATACAGCAGCCGAACGCACTCCTGTGCACTATCCCATACAGCATCCGAGCATACTCGCATGCACTCACACACATAGCTGTCAAACACCCTTGAAGATGCACGAGAGTGGCGTCTATTCTACCTGCACTATGTTGTAACTAATCTGAAAACCTGTTGATTAAGAAGACGAAATTAAATTCCTGGCGGCTTTCTCTTCTTGTATGGTGGTAGAATTTTAAATGTTGTATCCGTCTTCACGCTTTTAAACCACCGATTTTGTTGTGCGTGCAGGAAGATTGGCGTTCGTTCAAACGTCTGGGCTGAGAAGAGTGTCGTGGAGAAGGCCGCATTCGAGTTTTCTGAGGTATGTCTTCTTCCTTGCCAGTACGCCGAATTTTCACGCAGTGCGCTGTGTGTGTCCTGTTGTGTGTGTGTCCTTGGCATGCCCATGGAGACTTCGCAAGGGTAGATGCTTTGCCAGAGTTAGTAACTCCTGATTGGTTGCTGTCACAACTCATTTCGGAGTGGCGTTTGTGTGTCCTTCTCACGTCCATTGAGTCTTCACAAGCGTCTACAACTCTAGGTAGTAAGGTCCACGGGCTGCAGTGGAGTTTTGTGCACAGTCAAATGGATTGCATGATGAAACATGCTGTGCAGGTCTACCCTCGTTAGTACGACATCGGTTGCAAACCTCATTAGTACTGTGAACCGTGAAATTTTTGCCATGGTCTAATTTCTGCGAAATTCGCGGCCGCGTGGAAATCGCGAAATTTAGACAGCGCGAAAAGGAGATCTATGAAAGGTTTAGCAAGAATGCCACAGGTTTAGCAAGAATGCCATTCTGCAATCGCAAAATTAAAACCTCGCAAACCTGTCCGGATTCTGAAAACGCGAACTAAAAACGCCGCGAAAATTTCACGCTATACAGTATACAATGACCCGAAAACCCCTGACGCCTGAAACGCGTACATTCAAGTCCAGATACAGTAAAACCTGGTTTAAGCGACCACCCCACGGTGCAAGCAAAAGCGGTCGTTAAAGCCAGGTGGTCTTTAGAACCAGGTCCCACCGTGTCTGTGTAGAACTGTCGGTGCATCGAAAAACGGTGGTTAATAGCAGGTGGTCGCTAAACACAGAGGTCGCTTACACCAGGTTTTACTGTAGGGCCACACTTTGTTTTTTCTATGTTTCTCGTCGGCAAATTTTAACAAAAGGTACGCGGGCGGGCGGAAAAAAAACAAAAGCCAAGGAAAAAACAAGAACAATTTCTACTGAAAACTGTATACATTTTACATGTATATGCGTGATTCATACAAGGCACTGCGTATACCATGTATACAGTACTACATTGTACAATCATGTACATGTAGTCCCATACATGATTGCACTACATTATCACATCAGCCCACGAATATCAGGCAAACTACAACAGTGAGAGCATAAAGTTTGATTACGAGATGGCGAAGAGAACATACATTTATCTGCTATCGCATCAACAAACGTTTCCCACTCGTCATTAATTTTTGGTTTTGTTACTTGAACATTCTTGTGTCCGCGTATCAAACTCTTGTCTCCATGCTGCTCATCTTTTCCTTGCCATGCGTCTATTCCTTGGATTTTCTGCCTGCGACATCGTTCCACAGACGCCAGTTG